CCAGCCCAGACTACCATTACTATACTTAGCAAAACTGTCAATCACCATAGATGGAGAAAACAAGATATTTCATGACAAAGTGGAATTTAAACAATATCTATCCACAAATACAGCCATACAGAGGGTACTAGAAGGAAAACCCCACCCCGGAAAATTAACTACACCCATATAAACACAGGCAGTAGATAACCTCAGACCAGTAAAATCCCCAAAGAAGGGAAACACACACACACACACACACACACACACAGTTGTTTTTCCTCTTTGCTCTTTGGGGGGCGCTGTTGTAGATTTTTTTTTGAGATCAGTGTTTACATATTTATTTATCATTTATTTATTATGTATACAACATTCTGCTTCCATGTATATCTGCACACCAGAAGAGGGCACCAGATCTCATAACGGATGGTTGTGAGTCACCATGTGGTTGCTGGGAATTGAACTCAGGACCTCTGGAAGAGCAGCCGGTGCTCTTAACCTCTGAGATATCGCTCCATCTCTGTAGAATATCATTTTAAGATGTGTTATGTTTATTTATGCTGTGGAACATTTGTTTAATGATGCAAAGATGTGTTGAATTCTTCTATGTTGCATTTGATTAAGTCTGTGAAGGTATGTTACTTTGCCTGTCTAAAATACCTGATTGGTCTAATAAAGAGCTGAACAACCAATAGCAAGGCAGGAGAAAGGATAGGTGGGGCTGACAGACAGAGAGACTAAAATAAAAGGAGAAAAAGAAGGAGGAAGCAAGAATCTTGACCTAGGAGTGAGAAAAGAAGGGGTCAGCTACCCAGCCACAGCTAGCCAGAGAGTAAGAGAGAAAGTGAGATTACAGAAGTGAGAAAAGGCAAAAGTCTAGAGATGAAAGGTAGATGGGATAATTTAAGTTAAGGAAAGCTGGCTAGAAATAAGTCAAGTATGTCTCCATGTACAATTATTTGGGAATGGCACTTTTGGAGGTGTGGCCTTGTTGGAGGAAGTGTGTCACTGTGGAGGCAGGCTTTGAGGTCTCATATGTGCTCAAGCCAGACCCAACGAGATAGACCACTTCTTGTTGCCATTTCCAGCAGCATGTTTACCTACATGCTGTCTTCCTTCCTGCCCTGATGATAATGGACTAAACCTCTGAACTCACCACTTCTTGTTGCCATTTCCAGCAGCATGTTTGAAGCAGCATGCTGTCTTCCTTCCTGCCCTGATGATAATGGACTAAACCTCTGAACTCTAAGTGAGCCACCCCAATTAAAAGTTTTCCTTTATAAGAGTTGCTGTGGTCATTGTATCTCTTCACAGCAACAGAAACCCTTCGACACCCTTAATCACACTTTCCCATCAATGGTCTTTAGAAAGTTACTATACTTCACACATTGTTTTCCCCATTAGCAAAATCCTAAAAATGCTCATTCATAAATACATCAATATTGGTCACCATAAGGAAGGTATAATTATAGCTTATCCCCTATCCATGTTAAAAATCATTGTGCATCTCATGGGGCAATGTTCCAAACAAGTATCTCATAAATTGGAAAACCATGATTAAAAATTTTGAGGATAACTATTATAGTAATTATTTCGGGTAGCTAGCAGGCAATAACTGACTTCGGTCTACATACTCTTAACAGATCCAGTCTCGGGTTGAAATCTGGATCTCCATTTACAGTAACAATCCCATGCTGTGCTTTTGGTCAGGTGCTCACAACTGAACATTTCAAGAACTGTAGCCCATTTCAGGAACTGAAATCTCATTTTTATTAGTTTCAGGAAACCATGATAATAATACAAGATATTCTCAGTTTTCACACCTAATGTACATTCAAGTTTTCAGAGAATAGTTGCATTTTCATATCTATATAAAAATAAGCAAAGAAAACTAGTCTTTCTTACTTTGATCTATACTGTTGGAGCTTAAGGCCTACAGTTTGATGCTCATTCATGCTTCATTTCAACACTTTGAAGCAATCTTTGGAGTAGGAAGAGCACACATTCTAAGCAAAGATAGGATAAAGATAGAATTCTAGGCAGAGGCTTTCCGTAAAAGCAATACTTTGAACAAATTAACCTCTTTGAATCTCAGCTTTCTTTTCTTTCCCTTGGAAGCTTATCTCTCATACATTTATTTTTATAAAACTGATTTATGAAGGTCAGAGTATGGCTAGTCATGGTGACCTTCAGAAAAGGCACACACCAGGCACTAGGGAGGTCTCAGTTGAGGATACAGGGTTGGGAATCTATACCTAGGGGACACTCCCCAGGAATGCTAGAAACACACGCTCTGACTGCGGAAACATGCAGACTCAAGACGGCAAAAAAGGAGAAACAGTATCTTGATCCTTCTCAACTTATGTCCTGGATCTATTCTGGGTTGTTGCTGCAGACAGAAACTCAATGGAACCTTGGGTTTCTTGTATAGAATAACAACAACAAAATCAATAATGCTTTATTTATCTATCACTTTTCATATGCCAAATCACATTTTAGTCCCTGGGACTATATCAGGAATGAAAATTTAGTTACTTTCAGGATCTGCACAGTATGCAACAGGGTAGAAAATAAGGAAATAAATAGTATGCCACATGTTGATAGCTTTTATGGAGATAGTAAGCCAGGACAAGGAAGCAAGTTAGTTACAGTGCAATGTTGTTATTTTATGTAGGATGGACAAAGGAAGATTTTAACATGTCACTTGAAAACAGACATAAGAAAAGTGAAGGGAAAGAACAGTGTATAACTCTTGGTGGAGTGTGTTGTAGGCACAAAGTATAGAATGTGCAAATCCATCAAGGCAGGTGTACTTTGATTTTAACTTAGCACACAATATGCAATATTATCCAGCTGTTAAAAAATTACATATACCCCTGAAATTTCAAGAGTTCTCTCAGGCTCTATAGCAGCAAATGACAGAATAGATAGCTCCAGGGTTTGACCCAACTGTCACCTCAGGATCAGAATTATCAAATTTCATAGTAACTTGATGAGATCTGTTCCCTGACACCAAGGACAGTGCTAGCTCCTTATGCTCTTAGCCTGGGCCAGTTTTCTGCTGCCTGATGGTATCCTTTGGATTCCTGCAATCTAAAATTGCCTATCTGGGTCTTCCCGAATCTGTGATAGGTCACATGGAGGCTCCTAACTCTGGTAGGTCATTATATACAATAATCTCAAGATGTGCTTCGCCACTGTCCTCCTAGTAACAGAGTATGACAAATGGGATCTCGCTCCTCTGCTCACCCATTTGCTGGAGGATAACTGCTTTACTCACACCCACAAGTAGATCTGAAGATTGAGGCTTGTGAGGAAGAAAGGATTGCCTGGCTTTCATATGGCTTACCTTTTTAGTAGCAGTTTCTGGGTCCTGTCCCCTAACCAGGAAACTGGTCAGATGAGGTGGCATTAAGCCTACTGACCTAATATTCTTTTCTTCCTCCATAGATTTCTGCACCCTTTACTGTTTCCCTCTTTGACAGACTATTATTATCATCCAGCTTCCAGAAAAGCACCCTGTAGTATACCGTTTTACTGGGAAATCACCAAATTTGTTTTTGAGTAACTCAGAGACTCCTTTGTTGTTCTCACCCTTCTCTTATCCCCCTTTTATTGATTTAGGCCTTGACAAACTCAATTTGCATGCCAGTCTAGGTCATTCAGGTCCTCCACAGTCTATCCCATCTAATAATTCTGTCCCACCATGGACCTCAGTGAAACCACTGAATATCCTTACCAGTTTCAGAGATCCTGGTGAACCAAATTTCTTTTTAAAGTTTATTCAAAATTATGCTTGTGTGCATGTGTCTGTATGTGCACTTGAGTGCAGGTGCCTGCAAAGCTGGAAGACAGCATCAGATTCCCTGAAGCTGGAGTTACAGGTAGCTATGAGTTGTCTAATATGCGTGCTGGGAACCAAACTCAGGTCATCTGCAAGAGGAGTTGCTCTTAAGCTGTTGAGCCATTTCTCTTAACCAAAACCTGAGCCTTATTGTCATATAGTGGGGCATCTTGATATGTCTCCTGATGAGATAAATGCACAACATAAACCATGAACAGTCCTGTGCAAAGTCAGAATCTAATCAAGTCATTAGAGTTGATCTACAGTAAATACTGGGACTAGAGGGACAAAAGAGTATAAAGAATCAAACATACAAATCTAGAATGCAAAAAGTATTTTCATCATCTTTTTATAAAGACAGTGTTATGGAAAGTAAGAGCTAAGGCACTAGAAGGACACCAAAGAGACAACCAAACATCATGGACAGACCTTGATAAAATCCTCATTATATGGTAGCTTGAATATACATGGAAAAATTCGAATAAGGGTTGTTAGAAAATACTGGAGAATTTGTTATTTTTTCATGTGATGACACTGTGGCTATAGAAAGAAACTCTTCTTTAAAGAAGTATCTCATGCAGAGATATTAGGGATGAAATATCCTCTCTGACACCTTTCAATGGTTTAGCAAAAGCAAAACCACTTATTTATTTCTAAATAGGACACAGAAAGCAAATTACGTTATCATGGTTGGTTTCTGTTAACATAAGTTGGGAAGAGGAACCTTAATGAGAAATTGCCTCTTTCTGATTGCCTGTAGGCTAGTCTACAGTGTACTTCCTTGATTAATTATTGATGCAGGTGGACGTATCCTGTGGGGGTAAGATAGGGGTAGTAATGTGGCAACCCTGTGTAGGTTGTCTTAAGTTATATAAGAAAGCAGGCTGAACTAGCCAGTAAGCAGCATTCCTCTGTGGTCCCTGCTTCCATTCCCACCCCGACTTCCCCTGATGCACTGTAATGTGAACATGTAAGCAAAATAACCACTTTCCTCTACAAGTTGCTTTTGGTCATGGCCTTACTACGAGGATATACACACATAAAGAAAATGGATCTAGGCAATACAATTAGGTGCTATTTGACTGTACTATTCTTCTCTATCATTTGTATATTGTCAAAATGAGTTTAGGAAGGAGAGAGACACAGTAAACTATAGGAGGCATTATTTGGTCTGTCAAAATGAGGAGTTTAGGAAGGAGAGAGACACAGTAAACTATAGGAGGCATTATTTGGTACAAGATCCAAAAAAGACAGGTATAATGAATTAAAAGCCCACAGAGAAAGATTACTGCCATACTTCTGTGCATCATTTTCTAAGACATGGAGTGGCACAGACCTAGAAAACTGAACAGATCGAGGTGTGGCAAGGTAAGTTATACCAACTACTTTTCTATTACTCTAATAAATCATCATGACAAAGTACAACTTTCACAGGGCTTATTTTAGGCTTAGGGTTTCAGAGGGCTAACAGTCCATCACCATCACAGTGGGGAAGCATAGCAGCAGGCAATAGTGATGGGAGCAAGCTGTGAGTTTACTCTGTGAAGTGCAAGCACAAATTAGACAGCAAATTAGAAATGGCAGAGGCTTTTTAATCTCAAAGGCTTCTCCCCAGTGACACATTTCCTCTAGTGAGGCCATACCTGCCTAAACAGCACCAACTGGGGACCAAGTGTTCAAATGCCTAAGACTATGGGAGACATCCCATTCAAACAACCACGAGTGATCTGAATATTACATATGAAACGAAGGAAAGAGAAAAGCTGTCTGTTGGTGACATAAGGACAAAGATGTGGAATAACTCCAGAATGGAATGGCAAAGGTGCTGGCTGACTCCAGAGTCTGGGAATTGTTCTTCTTTTGGCTATTTTCTCCTTCCATAACACATATCAGATTCAGATTTTTTGACTAGGCCCAGCTTCTTAAACAATGAGTCACACAATTTAATGTTGGGAGCTAAAAAAAAAATACCCATGGTGGTAGCAACAAAAGGTTTCTGAAGCAATGTACAAGGAATCCAAGGTGTTTCTGACAGCACTTGCCCTGCATCAGTGTGACTTCACTGAAGTTTTGGTTTTGAAAATATAACATATACTTTGAGCTGTGCATGTTATGGGATGTAATGCCAATATGCTATGAACTGCAGTGTTTTTACTACACATAACTTATAGGTATTGCAGGAAACCTGGCTTGTTATATGGGTGATAAGATCTGAATTCTGGTCTTCATAATTGTGCAGCAAGTGATATTAGCCACTGTCACATTTCTCCAGTGCCTTGAGTTCCATTAAAGATTGTTAAACAAATTTTAGCTTGGAATAAGTATAAAATTTCCAACCATCTCTGAAATGTTCCTAAAAATACTTGTCATTTTGTACTATGCATTTATGCAAAGCAGTATTCTCACCATTAATAATTCCTAGATCAGAATATTAATCAATTGTGAAAAACATTGAAGATGCTCTTGTACTGTAGTACCAAAGATTCAGTCAGGTTTTAACCTTCATGTAAAAGAAACACATCTGTAACATTGCACTTCCTGTACAGTATTGACACTGTCTTATCCAATAGACCAAAATCAATTGAGATTAGTGACCTTTTAGTTAGCCTTGTGCTACAACCTCAGCCCAGCAGTTACAATCTTATCTTAGCTAACAATTATTAATGACATTCTGGTTTGTAAATGCTTTACTTCTGGATGTCTATATTTTAACAAATACTTTTAAATACAAGAACAACAGATTAGTACAGTCAATGTAAGATAAAGTGCTCAGTTATCTAAATCATAGTATTCTGGAAAAAAAAGCCTCGAGGAAATCTTGAAAGATCCCATAGCACTCAGTACAGTCCATTCTTCATGACCAATTTTCTGTTAAGTGTTCAAAGTATAAGGATTGCTTTCTATGTCAGTGAAAACAAAAATTTCAAACAGATCTGCCTTTATTTAAAATTTCTGGGAATTGGGTTCATAGGACTTTATATGAAAATAATTTTGATGACTAAGTACTTTTTGTTTCAGACACTAAAGTGGCAGTATTCTGAAAATGGAAGGCAACATATTTTGAAAAACATCCCAAAATGTTTTTTTCTTATTTTCAGCCTGACCATTTATAGTTATGTTTAGGACGCTTCTGTTTTTGCAACTGTAGCTGTAAATATATTCCTTAACTTTAATTAAACACGTTGGTTTTATGTGCAACTTTTATTTGGTTTCTTTCTTGGTAACTCTTTTTGGTCGGGGGAAGGATAGACAGCAAGGCATTTCCTTAAGCGTGTGACTTGGAATCCAAGGATATCTGAAAGAAATACTTTTTGGGTGGTAGGGGGGAACCATTCATCCACATCGCTTTCAAGGCACTCAGCAGTGGAGCAGGGGTTGGAAATCTCTGGTTTTGTCAAACTAGGTATGTCAGGACTTCTGGATTTCTGGCTAGGTGTTTTTACATTCTTTGGGCAGGTTGAGGTAGCTTGATGTTTGCCATTTTCGGGAGAAAGTTTTGTGTTTTTATAGTTAGCATTAAGATTTGAATATAAGGAAGGCAATATTTTGAAAGGTCTGTGTAAGCCATGAATTCTTTGGTGGAAGCCTGCAACTGGAGTTGACTGGGAACAGGGAACAAAGTCTTGGCTTTCTTCAAAATCACATTCTGAATCTGACTGAGAACTTGCTCTCAGATACCTTGATGTTGCTATGTTTTGCAAGGGTAGTTTTTGTGAAGGCTGGCTGCCTTCTTCATCTATAGGATGGTTTTCTGTGCAAGATGCTTCCCATGGTAACAAAATATCCTGTGGTATTTTGGTAATTTCTGTTCCAATGTCCTTATTTTTAGCAACATCATCAAAAAGATCAGCAGAAGCATTGTAGCTACCTTCATGATCAGCAGAATAACTTTGTGTTAAGTTATTATTGATAGGCCTGTGAGGTAATTCTTTTGCTGTATTTGTATTATTTGGACTATGGCAAAGAGTCTCTAAAGGATACGTAAGTTTCCGGCATATTGTAAAATTGTCATCTTGGTTCTTTGACCATCTATAATATTGCTTATTTTCTAATTTGTGAATATCAGAAACATTACTGTATTTCTTAGAACATAAGCTTGTCAATTTTCCTTTTGTTTCTGAATGTGACTTTTCTCTACATCCATTAAAAGATTTGTTACTAAGATAAGAGCAGTTATTTGTTGAGGTACTAGACCTGAGTGAAATCACATCCCTTTGTTGTAGGATCCCAGCAGTCCTCTTATGGGGAACGGATGCGTCCATATCTTTTGAAGACGTAAATAGAGCTGAAAGGCAAGTATCTAGTAGAAAACACTCTGAGATACCACTACTATCACTGCCTATGGAGACAGCTTCTGCTGTCTTGTCAGGTTTGGATTCTCTTTGAATTTGAGGACTTATATTAGATTCACAGTTGGAAAAGGTCTCTTTCCTGGAGTTTTCTTTCACCATTGCTTGCGATGATCTTAAGCGCAAAGGCAGTGTATTCAATGTTCCAGTATTTTTCCTGGGAGTCACAGATAATCTGCTGTGGTCTGTGTGGAATTTATCAACGTCATTATCTGTAACCTGTTTTCTGTCCTTAGTATCCGTCTTGGTTACAGCAATTTCACTTTCAACAACTTCCAGAAACTTGCTCAGGCTTTCAGAGAATGGTAAATCATCCCAAATTAAGGAGTCACAGTTCTGAGAAGCACTTGTTTCTTCAGGTTTGAGTGATGACAAAGAAAATGCAGGTCTCTCTTGAAGGATTGTGGTAGTATTTATGTCACGATGCTGATAACATGGGATGTCATATTGGGAATATTCATTTTTAATTTCTGCTTCACTGTAGCATTCTGCATTATCTTCTTGAAAACATTCTTGCATTTGTGAAGGGAATAAATTAGAGTCAGACAGCCTAGATTCATGAAAACTGGGACAAATTGGACTCAGATGATTAGCCTGTAAACCAAATTCTCTGCCCTGCTTTCCTATTGTATTATTCTTGTCCATACATGAAACAAGGCTCTGGGAACTCTGAAAGGGATCCTGACAGTTCTTAGAACAAGTGGCTTCGGAAAAGGAGACGCACTGTTTGTTTTGATCAGGAGTACCACTGATCAGGGTTTGTTCTGAAGCTGAAAAGTCATCATTAGCTGTTACTTGTGAATCAGTTGAAGTCAGTTCAAGTGATGGCTGCCAGAATCTGAGAAGATCATCTCTGCTGCAGGACTCCAGAAAACAGGACGTTTGCACAGAGCCATGTAGGCTGCCAAGATCACTGTCTGAGTGATCTAAAGTGAGGGAGTGGCTGCTATACTCCTGAGAGTCACAATGATGTTTCTTGAAGTTGGAAGTGTGCAAAAGCTGATTTAAGTAGTCAATGACAGTAAAGCCTGTAATATGTGGGTCAGGCAGAACAATCTGGGAAGCTATTAGTGTTCTGACTTCTCCTTTGCATTTACAGCATGGCTGCAAGAAGTTATTGGAGTCTGAATCATGTCCACATATATCTCCAAAATTCTATGAAAGAAGTAAACGGATTTAAATGAGAACAAAATGGCTTTCTCTTAGGTCAAGGAGAAAACAGGAATTTAAAGGTTAAATGAGATATGATGATAACTGCTTTAACTCCAACCTCTGTACTATTACTGAAAGAATAGCACATACCAAAGCCTATGAACTTGGGCACAGAGACTTAACTTCAAATCCTTGTTCTGTAGTTACTAGGAATGCTGGGGTTTGGGGTTCGCTACTTAACTCCTCTGTGCCTTATTTTCTCATTTGTGAAATAAAAATCACTGATTAACAATAATATACAAAATTGTATAATATTTAGCAAACAGTGTCTATTCTATAAATGCTGGTACTATTATATTTGTGAAAGAAAGAACAGAAAGAGGAAAACTAAATTATATAATATTTTAACAAAAAATAGTTCATCAGTTCTTGGTTTCTGTCTTTAGGTTTTCCTTAGTGCCCATCTGGTACTACCATATTCTCTCTACTATATCATTTAGAGTGTGATTAAATTTCCATTTTTTTTAGTTTAGAATAGTTTGTTACAGGCTGGAGAGATGGCTCAGAGGGTAAGAGCACCGACTGATCTTCCAGAGGTCCTGAGTTCAATTCCCAGCAACCACATGGTGGCTCACAACCATCCGTTATGAGATCTGGTGCCCTCTTCTGGTGTGCAGATATACATGGAAGCAGAATGTTGTATACATAATAAATGAATAAATAAATAAAATCTTAAAAAAATAGTTTGTTACTAGTCCTTCAGAGTAGTACATTTTAACTTTTTCTACTATTATGTATTTAATTTAAGAATATTCTTCTTAATCTATTCTTTTTGAGGCAGAATTTTACTATGTAATTTGTATAGAATTTGGTATAAAAGAAATCTTTCAAAACCAAATATTTCAGTACTTTTTGCAATTCATAATAAACTCCCCCTTTTAAAGCTCTGAAAACATTGAATTGGGCTACTTTGGCTTTTGTAATTGGGAGTTGTATGTAACCTATAATATTTAAATAGATCACATGTAAGCTATTTCTATAGTTTCAAGTACTCCTATAAACTCTAATATCTATATAACTTCTAAAAAGAACTTGGAGAATTACAATCATTTTATTACAATGAGGATCAAGAAGACATTCAAAAGGAAGCTGTTCTCAATTACCGTCACTCCAAACACAAAGCTTTGTCCAACAAAACAATTTTCCACTGCTGTGGTCAATAGGCTCTGCATTCTACCACTGTCCAGGGGTTCTGGGATTTCACTAGAATTCTCAAGGTACCTTTGAAAGAAAATAAAGTGATGAGCTTTGACATTTTACCTTCGCAGTAAAATCAGAAGATACAATTATTTTAAAATATGGCATGAACCTTGTCAGACACACACACACACACACACACACACACACACACACACACACACACACACACTATGACCTTGGCATTTTGTCCCTACTAGGTTTCCATAGTATAGAAAGAGAAAAATCATTTAAAGCTCCACAAAAACCACTACTTAGCCAGCATAAACAAGATGCCTGCAAAGTCTGGGGAAGGAGCTTAGAGGTAGACTAACATGTATAAGTTTGCTCTAAGTTCAATCTATAGCACTGTAAGGAAAAAAAAAATGTACACACTTCATTTTCAGACCCCAAAGTTATTATACCAAGGGAAAGGAAAAGCAATAGTGGCAGTTGTGGTCTTTTCTCTTTCCTTGCAATTGTAGATATGGTCCTTCTAGTGTCCTTTTCCTTCAAATGAATCTGCTCTCAGGTACAGTGATATGAGCATATGTTTTTTCTGAAAAATGACTAGGGAAAGAGGGAAGATAGTTGGCAATGAGAAAAGTCTCAAGGCTGTGTCTTAGTAGGTCAATTGGTAGTCTGAGTGTAATTGGCCCGGTAAGCTCATAGGGAGTGGCACTATTAGGAGGTGTGGCTTTGTTAGAGGAAGTGTGTCACTGTGGGGGCAGGCTTTTGAGGTCTTCTGTGATCAAGCTATGCCCAGTGTCAGTTCATTTCCTGTTGTCTGTGGATGAGATATAGAACTCTCGGCTCCTTCTCCAGCACCAGGTCTGCCTGTACACAGCCATGTCCTTTCATGATGATAATGGACTGAACCTCTGAACTGTACATGAGCCACCCCAGTTAAATGTTTCCCTTTATAAGAGTTTCTGTGGTGTCTCTTCATAGCAATAGAAACACTAAGACAAACTCAAGTGATAAATCTGCAAAATGACTGAAAGAACTGATTAACCTGGATTAGAGTTTTATGATATTTTAAATAGTTACCACAAACATGTATTTATGTGAAATTTTCCCTTTCCAGTAGATTACCTTTTAAGGAAAATGATGGCCTGAGCTAAACAATTTCTTTTTAGTAACTACAAATACCTTCAACATATGTATTTTCAAATCCCACGGGCATGCTAGAAGAGCAGTAGGGTAAAAGAATTAAAGACTCTTACCTCTTCAAACCAGTGGCTGTGAGTCCAAAAAATGTGTCTAAGCAGTTCCCAAACACAGTAATGACATAAAGTTTGCTTGATTCTGCCACTTTTAAGCAAAGTCTGTACCTGTAACTGGAACTTTCAGCCTCACCCGTAGAGCCACACTTGGGACAAGTAAACCTAGAAAAGTTGGGGAGACATCATGGAGTTGTCCAAATTTAGGTCAATATTTTGTATACCAATAGTGAATTTAAATCTTCTTAAACTATATACAATCAGCAACTTTTTTTTCCCTTTCCTGAGACAGGGTCTTATGTGACATAACTGGCCCCAACTGTTACTTAGCTAGGGCTGGGCTTGAACTCCTGAGATCCTTGACCTCTTCCACCAGGAAGAAGGGACTATAGTCAAGCACTACTACAACCAGTTTGGTGAACTTTATAGATTTTAATACCACCAAACTGAAAGAAACATGTACCAAACTGCTAAGAAACTGATGTGAAACAGTGTAACAAAATAATCTTGACATATTTATACATCTAGAATTTATTTGTAAGCCAGGTGGTGGTGCTGGACACTTTAATTCCAGCACTTGGAAGGCAAAGACAGGCAGATCTCTGAGTTTGAAGCAAGCCTGGTCTACAGAGCTAGTTCCTGGACAGCCAGGGAGGTGCAACACAGAGCGACCCTGTCTTGAAGAATCAAATCAACTATAATAAAAATAAAATAAAATTTCATGTTTTTAAAAAAGAATTTACTCATATTTTCTTAATGTCCTGAAATCTATCAGTTTTTAAAAGATTTATTTTTCACTGTGTGCATGTGTCTGCATGTGTATTTGGGCAAACAGGTGCCCTCGGGCTAGTCATGATCTCTCCAATCCCTAAAAATTACTTTAATTCACCAGGATATGTTAAGAATATTAGATTATAAAAACTAGATCTCAAAGGCATAGAACTTAACTTGCCAAGATGATAAGATAATATGCAATTATAACCAAAGGGTAGTTAAAAATATCCATCAAGTGTAAATCTCTTGTTATATACTGCTTGGTCTTGGGATAATTACTAGATGCTTGAAATCCTGAGGACTGGGTTTGTAAAATCCAATGCACAGGAAAGACCAAACAAATCAAGTCAACATTATGGCATTAAATTTGTTGTATCCCCACTTTTTCGAGATCTTCTGGTGGCCAGGGAACTTGAACTTGGCTATATGCAGGGCCTCAATCACATGTTCTTTATTCTTCAGCTTGGTGTGGATATACATGATGACCTGGGCAGGGTGAACCCTACTCACTGTGCTCCAGAGTTTCCCAAAGGTTCCCCACCATACCTTTCTGGAGGCTAGACTAGGGAAAGCATTGAGATAAAAGACATGACTATCCCATAAAATTGTCTTCAAGTTTCCTTAGGGAAACTCATATAAGAAAGAGGCCAAATACACCAAGGTTGCTGATGTTTATAGCCACTGCATATTAGGTCCCTAGGAGGAACACCTTATCACCTTATTTTGTTTTGAGATAAGAGTCTTTCACTGAATCTAGAACTCACTGATCAGCAATACTACCTACCAGCAAGCTCCAGGCATCATCCTGCCTCTGTTTCCCTGGCCCTGGCACTATAGGCACACACTGGTGTTTTAAAAAACATGGTGTGAGGTTCTGAACTCACGTCCTCATGCTTGCACAGCAAACACTTCACTAACTGAGTCATCTCATTAGCCCTAAGGATATACTTTAAATATATCTATTGCTTACCCTGGGAGGTTAAAAAAGAAGTTATCTCAGTAAGACACAAAACAGTGGTGGTGGTGGTGGGGGGCTCATCACAAACTTGTTTAAGTAGTGGGGCAATGGAAAAGAAGAATTTCTATTTTCTATATTGGCTGATTTCTACTAAGAAAAAAAGAAAAGCAGAAGTAAAAAATAGAAAAGATTAAGCATCAGAATTGAGTTTATGGTATTGTTACTACTTTCTAGTTGATTCAATTTCCACAGGTAAGGACAATGTGCTTTGGGGTTTTATGCATCTAAACAATCCAGTTGGAGCTCTTTTCCTACAGGACTTTAAGTGGGAATTTGAACATAAACTGCACTGTTAGTTCACAGGTAATATGGCAAGAATGACTGTCGACCCTAGTCACATCGTTTAGCCTTGAGTGTTTGTTTCTGCCCCTAACTAGCTGGGTGTGTGATTTGGTGCAAGTTACTTCACTTTTCTAAGCTTCAGTTGTCTCCAAATTTGGTATCAACAATAGCACCCACTTCATAAAAATCTCTTGTATTAAAAGGATATAACAAATGCAATGCAAAGCTCCTAGCATCATGCCTAGCACACAGTAAACATCTATAAATGGTATATATTGGTAACACTAGTCTAAAGAGATAACAGTGGTATTACTGTTCAACCCAAATTTTTGTGAAAGATTATCTTCAAGATAAATTCTTGATCTGTTGGGTATGGTAATATAGGCCTGTGATCTTAGTACTTGGGAAGCAGAAGCAAGAATATCACAAGTTCAAGGTCAGTTGGGATATATAGTGATACTCTTATCTCACTTGGAAAAGACGACAAAGTTTTAAAAATACTTTATATCTACATAGCTGGTTTTATATATTATACAAATATTCTAAGTATGTTATATATAGTAACTTACCTGATTCAAATAAAAATTCTAAATGTGTTTCTCCAGTTTTAGCTCCAACTATGTAAGTGATTTGTGCAAGACCATATAGCTATAACTGAGAGAGTTGGGGAATGGTATTGTGGCTAATGTTTATAATCTCCCTATTTGGGATGCTTAGACAGAAGCTACAATTTGAGGTTATATTGTGATATACAGTGAGTTCCAGGCCAATCTGGGTCATAGAGTAAGACCTTGTCTCAATTCTCTGACACCCAAAGAAGTAGCAGAGGTTAAGATTAAACAACTCAGGCATTCTGGTTTCATAGAATAATGCTGTTAACCATCATGATATACTGCAGTAGGACAAGTATACTTGTAAAAGATTTTCAGTAAAAATGGGTGCCATCTTGGAAATGCTCATACATATCATATATTGGGCTAGATTTCTGTGCATTATTTCTACAGTTATTCCACATGGTAGGCATTATTAGCTCACTACTTTTATTTACATATTACTAGGTGATACTAACATTTTCATCTAATGTCTAGACACAAAGTTGTAGAAGAACTCCAAACCCAACTTTTCACTTTTACTCTACAAAGATAGGTAGTATATCTTGAGTTCTCTCTATACTTGGCTACAATGATTTTATCATGGTATTCAGATGTAGCCAAACAACATTGTTGTTGTACAATAGGTTACTAGAATTTGAGCATATCTGATCTGAAATTCTGAACTTCAGAGTACATGAACTGTGAATTCCAGATCAGCTTGGGCTTCAGAAACCCATGCACTAACAAACATACAACCATCTTGAAGCATCTGTTTTTCAGTTTTGGATCAGGGATACTCAAACAACAAAGTTTATACAAATATTCTTAAGTCTCCAAAGTTCTAAAATCTGAAACATGTCTGGTTCCATGCATTTTATAAATAATAGTAAGCATGGCACCAGCTATGGAGTTTACTTACATATATTAAAAAAAAAAAAACCTGATGTTAGGGCCATGAAAAAAAATACTCTCAAAACTATATATTAAAAAAAAAAACCTGATGTTAGGGCCATGAAAAAAAATACTCTCAAAACTTTCCCTAGAAACTAGATTACTACCCAATTCTATTCTAAGATTAACAGAGAAGAACCAACCCTGAGAATTCCTGAGAGAATCTGATGTTCTGGTATGGTTAGTTCAGTGTGCATTTGCCTGTGGGTCATAAAAGTGTCTGTATTTCCCTTCACACAGTCTTCAATTTTACCTTTTGGAGTCAAGGACTATCCGAGAAAAGCACCTTTGACATGATGGATATATAAAACTCGAATTCTGGAGAGCAAGCACTGAGGCAAGAAGGAATTTCCGTCTTCTATTCATGAGTCTATATTTTGTCCTATAAAAGAAAACAAGCATGGGGTTCAATACAAATATTAAATCACATGTGAATTATTATTCTTATGAAAACCAATCAGTCAATATTATCTGTTGTTTCATTATCAAAGTGAAGGCTGTAAGTGCCAATATACTGGCATTGTTTTTTAAAGTACTGGGAAATTAAATGTGGGGCCACGTATATGGTAACCAAGTACCCCATTACTGAATTACATCCAAAGCCCTATAATGACATACTGAAAAACTGCACTACTTCTTCTGAATAAGTAGTCTATTCTAGTAATTCAGGAGACACTTCACTTAGCTAGTTCACATTTTTTTAAAGTAATTTTATTCATTTACTTATTTTACATCCTGGCTGAAGTTTCCTCTCCCACCTCTCCTCTCAGTCCCTCCCCTTATGCTCCCCCCATCCTATCAATCCACTACTTCTCTTTCTGTTTAGGAAAGGGCAGGTCTCCTTTGAGTATCAACAAAACATGGCACATCAAGTTGCAGTAAGACTAAGCATCTCCCCCTGTATCAAGGCTGGGGAAGGCAACCCAGTATGAGGAGTAGGGTCCACATTTTTTTTTTTTTAAACAAAAGATATAGAAGTGGTGTTCACAATTGTAATGGGAAGGATATCCCATGAGCCAACTTCTTTCTTCCTCCTCCCTGTGCTTTTGAGGGTTCTCCCTATTTTGTCCAGGCTAGTCTTGAACTCACTTGTATAGAAGCTGAAAATTGCTTTAGTAGATTTCACTGGGTAGAGTTTTACAGTTTGGGGATAGAAAAGGGACTTATATCTAGCAAATAAAAATGTTACAAGGTCTACGAGATCTTGTTTCTTTTAATAAATAATCCTTGTTTATATAAGCCTATCAAAGGAATAAAAGCAATACTCTCTACTTTTATAATTTCACTTTAAATTCTTTAACTTGTACATTGGCTTACCATTTTTCCTTACTGCTTAGCTTATGCTAATAAGTTAAAAAAATGAATGTTTTCAAATAAAGAACTCTGTGTTTCAGAGAGTTACATCAACTTGTAAAAATGTATGACCTGCTTCAACCTTGGGATTCAGTTAGGCATAGCTTTTCAAGTATCATCAACAGAAATGTGTTGACTGTGGAGGCTCATACAAATTCTGTATTAGGACATAACATTTCCATGAAAATAAGATTTTCCCACTGCTTTTTCCAATGAAGTCTCATTAGGTGTATAAACTACACTTAAGGGTAGACTCCATGCCCAGCAGTAGACAGTCAACACAAAGCAAATTAATGATATTTTGGTACCATATTTCTTTGTTTGGGATTTTTTTTTAACTGATCTTTTGCTTGTACATTCTAGTTTCTGAATTTTTTAAGATTTTGTTTTTGTGTGTGTCTGTGTTCTTCTTTTTAAAATTCTTTTTATTTGCTTGTTTCTTTTTCCCCCTCCCATCAGTTTTTCCCTTTTATTGGAAATAGATTTTTTTTCACATAATATATCTTGATTATGGTTTCCTCTCTTTATACCTCCTGGTTCCAACAGCTTCTAAGGGATAATAAAAAATAAAATAGAGAAGGCAAAAGATTATTGTGGGCCAATCTTTAGGGGGTCCAACACAGAATTCTATAGTCTACATGGACATTCAAAATTATTCTTTATACTATGTGGGTGGTATCATCCCTTGGCAGGGAGGTCTGTGCTGTTTAAGAAAAATAAATGAATGTGAGAGTGGGGGCCAAATGTGAGCAGTGTTCCTCCATGGTCTCTGTTTCATTCCTGCTTCTAGGTTCCTGCCTTGGCCTCCCTCTGTGATGGACTATAAACTGTAAGCCAAATAAACTGTTTCCTTCCCCAGCAAAAAATTCTTTATGAATTTTATTACATAGGAATTTTAGAAGAATTGATTTGTAATTTAACTAAGACACTGTGCTCTACCATGGGTTCATTTTTTATTTTTCCCCTGAAGCACTAGAGATTGAACCCTGGACCTCATATGTACTAGGCAAGGACTTTACTACTAAGCTACACTTTCAATCTCTTTTTGAGAGAGGACTTCAAGGCTTTCCCAAGGTTGGGATTTGTGATTCTCCTGACTCATCCTCTGAGTAGGTGGGATTACAAACCTGTGCCACCAGGCCTGCCTAGATAATAAACTTACCAATACAAGAAAAGCAATATGAGCACAACATTTTGGAATTAACTTATAAATTATTTCAAGCATAAATTGCTCACTATTTAAGGTTAGCTGCTGCCTTATATTTAAGGGTTTGTTGCCCTCTAGTGGATGAAATATGTATGTAACAACAAACAGAAAAAAACCCTAATTTACAGGTAAATTTAAGAATTAAAATAAAAGAGTTCATTTTTTTGTTTGATTATTTTCACTATTGGTGCTTCACCTGGCAAGTCCAAATCGTAAAAAGATATTTCATTCACTGAAAAAAGACAGTACTATAGGAAGCTCCTTTTAAGCACACAAGTTTGTTTGTTTGTTTTTCTTTGTTTTCATAGCCTGTTTCCTTCATGATAAATGTCTCCTATCTTATATCTCTACTACTTGGCATGGATTATGATGAATGCATGTTTGATGAAGTACCAGGACTGAATAAGTATTAAAATTAGGAAAACAATATAGACCTGAGAACAACTTTATATGTGGCTCACTGTATAATTTTTCCTTCTATTTTGTTGGGAAGGATGGTGGTACAGTATTGTATTTCTTTCGGCTCCATCAATCAGCAAACCATGTTCCAACTTAGCTCAATACATTTACTTACTGTACATTTGCTAAATGCCAACTGTTGCTATATGTAAGTTAGGGACATTTAGATATAGTCCTTTCCTAGTTGCTAGATTTATATTCTAGTATAAGAGATGACAGAAAATGATGAAGAAAGAAACCACCTCTGTAACCATGACAAATTATATAAGTTAAATACACATAATAACATGAGAAAATATAAAAGAGACTGATCAGGTTTTTGCTTGGGGATGGGGTGGGATAAGGAAAGAGACAGGACTATGATAATATAATTTTTGTTTAAAAACTATTTTCTGTCAGAGTGATGGTATTAAAATCATTAAACTTTTTTACACATCTAAAATATTTTCTAAATGTATAACTTTGGGGTAATGTTTATTTGATTTTTATTTATGTGTATGTTTTGTCTCTGTGTATTTGTACCTGTGTGCAGGTGCCCATGGCTCTCCTGGAGCTGGTGTTACAGGTGGTAATGAGCTTCTGGACGTGGGTGCTGAAAACTGAGCCCAGGTCCTCTACAAGAGCAGCAAGGTCTCTTAACAGCTAAACCATTTCTCCCCTAAATGTAGAGCTTTTATAGTAAGAAAAAACATAATAAAAATACTATGTAGGAAACTTAGCAACAACCCACAAGGAAACATCAGCTCCTCCTAATCTCATACATATAAAAGTAGAAATAAGACTGGGAGTGAGACAGGGAGAAAGTCTAAGTGTTACGGCACACTGAGGAGAACTAATTGTTCCCCTTTTTGTTTTCCAGAGATTTCCTAGGTCAGTGTCCAAGAAGGAAGGCACAGGCTTAGTCTTAAATCTATATGGGGGAACTATACCACAACCAAAGATACTTCTAATTTATCATGAAAAAGAATAGTACATGGAAGCTGGGAAAGGTGGCACACACCTTTGAGCTCAGCATTTAAGGCAGAGGCAGGCAGATCTCCTTTAAGAACATATACAACATCCAACTTTCAAAAGGCAGTCAAAAGGATTTCCTAATAAATACTGGTATTAACATGAAAATCCTAGAAAGGGATGAGAAGCAGGAAGGACATTGACAACAAAATGTGCAAAAGAAAGAAACAAAATTTACAGCAGAAGGCAAAATATTGTTGAAAACTACTGTTAAAACATTAACCAGGAAAGCCTCAGGGTGTACAACACAGCTTTTCTATTTTTGGTATCGTTTTTGGGATATTAATAACAGAGATGGAGAAGCTCGGGTCATTTGAGGTAGGAAAAAAAAAGAAAAAAACAAACAAACAAAACAAACAGGACTTTGTGTTCAAGACTCTGGAAGTTATGTGTGGATCAAGCAGACAATGTGTTTTATAGGTCAATGTGTATCAATAAAAGAATGCAAAGACTTCCATAATGTAACTTCTTACATATGAGCCAATTGCATTTGGAAGTCTCACAAATTCAGAGTTTAGTAAGTAGCAAACTTTGAATTCTTTTAAGCCTTTCTTGCCACAAAATCTTCTCAATTTTAGTAAATTGCCATATGGCCAGATACTGAAGACTCTTCCCTCCCTCATCCACTCCCATTCTTCACATGCCACATAATATCCACCATTTTTTTCCTTTTTTTGTTTGTTTGTTTTTGAGATAGGGTCTCTCTATGTAGCTCTGGCTGTCCTGGAACTCACTATGTAGACCAGGCTGGCCCTGAACTCACAAAGATCTGCGTGTCTCTGCTCAGCTTATTCTTTACTTTTAATATTTATTCTTCTAGAATTTCATACAATATATTTTGATCATGTTCTTTCCCTTCTCCCACTTTCCTTCCCGCCCAACTTCAAGTTCTTTCTCAAAACAAACAAACAAACAAACAAACAAACACCAAAGCTGGGTGTGGTGGTATATGCCTTTAATTCCACCAGGAGGCAGAGGCAGTGTGATCTCTGAGTTTGAGGCTGGCCTGGCCTACACAGCAAGCTTCAGTTTAGCCAAGGATACATAATGAGACCCTGTCTCAAAAAAAAAACCCAAATCCATTAAGGCCAGATACCTAGGACTCCTCCCTCTCTCGTTCCCTTCCTCCACAAGTCACATCATATCCACCAGCTTTATATCAATCCTTTAGAAAGGACTTTCCAGATTCATGTTTATTTACTCCTTTTTAAAAGATAGTTTTCTCTGTAGCCCTTACTTTTCTATGTAGCCCAGGCTGCTTCAAACTAGAGATTCTCATAACTCGGCCTCTACAGTGCTGGATTATAGATCTACTTCACCACACTCAATTTGCTATTCTGTTTGTTAACTTTATTTATACATACATACATACATACATACATACATACATACATACATAGTACTTACCCTTAGGACAACAATCTCTCTTGTTAACTGAAGTCACCCAATACCTGGTGGTTCTTGGCATAATGGGAAGCACTTAAAAATTTATCTGAAGAATGAATAAAGATTGCTCTGTGATCCAATTTTCCAAAGCTGGGAAACAGCTTTTCAAAAGGCTTTGGAAGCCAGCCATTGGTATGAAATCCCGTTACCACAACAACAAAAAAGCGTTGCAGGGGCTGGAGAGATGGCGCAGAGGTTAAGAGCACCGACTGCTCTTCCAGAGGTCCTGAGTTCAATTCCCAGCAACCACATGGTGGCTCACAACCATCCGTTATGAGATCTGGTGCCCTCTTCTGGTGTGCAGATATACATGGAAGCAGAACGTTGTATAGAGAATAAATAAAATCTTAAAAAAAAAAAAAGCGTTGCAAACTAAGAAATAACAAATGAGTCAGAACAAGCCTGGGGTGTCAATGGGAATAAAAAATGTTTTTTTTGTGGGGGGGTTAGAAGGATGGTGCCTTTGAGGAACACAAAAGAATCTCTGGGGTTGGGGTTAATTCAGTGACATATGGCATGAACGGAGTGTGATATTCTCGGTTTGATCTCCCACACTGAGAGGTGTGTGTATGGCAGGTCTAGAGCTGAAGTTGGAGAGGCAGGCAAGGCCAAAGGGCTTCTAACCTAAGTTAAGGAATTTGGACTTAACACATAGGGGAAACAGGAGCATCTAGAAGAATTTAAATGGGGAGTACCTTGGTCAAAATCTTCACCTATTTGTCTGGTCATATGGGGAATGGATTAGCAGGGGAAACAGCTGGAAGACTACTGCCACAGCTATGCAACACTCACAGGTCAGGTTTTGGTAATGGCAGTGTTGAGTGGAGAGCGGGACATGGATTTCAGATGAGGATGAGAGATCAAGGAGTCTGGAAATCTTTCAATGTCTGGGTTGCACACATTATTCAGTTAAACATTTTCTCTAGGCAACCAAAGCAATTCGAGGGAACCTAAACAAACAAAAAACCTCGCACTAATCTGCATGGTAGCTAGAAGACACAGCTTTACAACTACCAGAAGAAAGTCGAGCCTTTTACTCTGGGCTTCTGGGGCTCTGCAGGAAATGTTGATAAACATTCGCCAAGGAACATATGACCCTCGTATCTGCCCTTTACGGAGACGGGTCCTGAAATAAATCCATGTGGGGCGAAGGTTTACAGCGCCTCGTTAGGAAGCTCTCGACCCAGAGCCCCTCAAGAACCTCTTTCTCCAGCGTCTCACCTGAGGCAAAGGATCGGGACAAGTCCGGGCAACCATGAGAAGACGCTGGCCACTCAAAACCAGCCGCTCACCAAACGCCAACAACCGAATCTCCCGCGTTCCTTTCCGCCGGAAGTACCGCCTTGACAGAGCTTCCCGAGAGCCAATCAGAAAAGTCTCTGCCGGGCGTTTCGCTTATCTGGGCGGACGAGCTTTCTTGTGTGGCCGTGGGTAGAGACGGGTTTTGAGGGACGTTCTTTTCGGACTGGTGGAACTGTAGTTCTTCCCGCGATGTGCGGGGGAAGCCGGGAAGGCGCGAGGCGTGGGAAGGGGTGACAGCGCCCCTCAGGCGGACGCCGAGGGCGTGCGAGCGGGTGCAGGTTGGCGCCGCGGGGTGGACAGGAGGGGGCGCTGTTGGAGAGGGAGCCGCCATCGCGGCCAGCCTGGCGGGGCCTGGATGGGTTAGTTTCTCCGGCTGGGACTAGGCTTAGTCTGCACGGGCGACCGGGTGGCCCGAGGACTGAGTATAGTGGGGCTGTGGCTAGGCGGGCACTATGGAGCCTGCAGGAGGGCAGAGGGATCTTCTATTTCCTGCTGCCTGCCCGAGAGACCCAGTGTCGAGTCCCGGAGCCCGAGGACTGAGTATAGTGGGGCTGTGGCTAGGAGGGCACTATGGAGCCTGCAGGAGGGCAGAGAGATCTTCTATTTCCTGCTGCCTGCCCGAGAGACCCAGTGTCGAGTCCCGGTCCTTGTTTCCTCATCTAAGTAGAGATGACAGTCACATGGTGTGCAGGGTTGCTGTTCTGGTTGAGTGAGAGGTCACGTGTGTTGTCATGCCTGGTGAAGATTGTCAGTAAGTCTCTCTCCTCCCTCCCTCTCCCCACCCTCGCCATTATGTAGGTTTTGCGGAGAGCTGGGGTGTTGCAGTGGGGACAGTGTAGTGGAGTCAGTAAAGGCAGGGATATGGCGTGACCTAGAGTGGCGATAGGGTTCGGGGAGGCATAGATAAGGATGGGGCAAAGCCCTGCGGGCTAAAGGCCGACGCAGAGGGTGACCGCAGTGGAGGTGGGCGGGGAGGAGGCCATGCCTTTGGAGCCAGGAGCTGCCAGGCTTTGGGTTTCCCGCGGGGAGGAGCTACTCTGCAGCGGGTGGAGCTACGAGCTGGGCCCGGCTTAGGCTGCGCGCTTCTGCCGGTGACCCTCTTTCTCTAGCTTCCCAGACTGGCTGCCAGCCCGAGCCATGGGCTGCCGGGCTCTCCTGCTCCTACCTTTCCTATCATTCGGGGCCGCCATGATGATCCAGCTTGGGCCAAAGTCCTTCGGCAGCGAGTACTTTCCAACCAACCCCACATCCGACCCTGCTGTAGCCAATAACTACTCAGTTCTTTACTTCCAACAGAAGGTAAGCGGAGGCTGGGAAGTTGGGGGTTCCAAGTCCCAGGTCCCAACCGCCCATACCTTGCTTGGCTCGTAAAGCTGGATGGAGCACCGCCCCCACTTCAAATTCTAACTCTTAATACTTAGGACTTGCTTTGGTTTTAGTTCACATTTCTGGAGGGTGACCTTAAGCCTTAATTTAAAATTTATCAATAAAAATATTCCCACGTTCCCCAACAAAGGCCAAGAGAAATTTCTTCTCCAGTTCTGGAGGTTCGGGATACATATTTTTAACTCTTCACAACCAGCTCTCAGAGGATGCTTCAGTCTAAATTGTTTTTATTTATTTATTTATTTTTTAATCTTGGCCAAAATCAAATTATGGAGAGCAACCTTGACCCCCAGGTCTCTGAACCCTAATCCTAATGTGTGGAGACTAACCTTGACCTCTAGTTCGCTCAACACGAAATCTGATGTACCTATTATAGAACACTAGCACTGTAAAGCGCCAGCCTGCTTTCTTCTCTAAACTGCTTCTCTCGGTTGAAGTGTTACTTTTAGAGGTTGAAGGTCTGTAATCCAGACCTGAGGTGAGTGCAAGGATCAGGTCTCTGGTCAGTTTTGAGAGTTTCCAGTGCCTTTGTTTGTACTTGGCTGCAGCATGAGGCATTACCCTATTACTCTGAATGGAAAAGTACCTGTGTTCTCTGAAATGACAAGGAACCCTTCTAATTCTGTGTTTCTAGGAGTCACTGTAAACATGAATGTGCCAGGCACTGGGATTAGAAAGAGTGCAAGAGTCTGAGCTTGGCTTTAGAAATCACAGCAAGATCCGGCCTAACTTTGTAATCTTGAACAGGTTACAGTTAGTTTCTGAGCCCGTTTTTTGACTTACTGAACACTGTAGTGACGATTAAATGAAAGCAGGTAACGTACCCCTAGCAGAGTAGCTGTCCTAAGTTATCGATGCCTGGTTACTGATGTGAAGTTTGAATAGGGATTTGGGGAAGAGGGATGGCATGGGGTTGTAGGACAATTTAATTTAGAAGCCCCCTCCCCCCAAAAACAACCTAGAAATTTAAATTTGGGTTTATCAAAAAATATTTTAAATTTCACTGAGGTAGCAGAAATCTTTCTGAAGCAGCTCCTCTAATCTCCTGTGGTACAGTTTCCTCATTGTAAATCGAGAAGCTGGAGTCAGCACCATTGCATCCTGTACTTTCCCTAGAAATCCCTTTCTGTGGAGCCAGCTGCTGTGGAGGCTAGCTGAGTCTAACTGAAATGAAGGCTATGTTAGGAACCCTAGTAGCACACTTGAGGTGTTTTGCTTCTGTCTGCTTTCTTTTTCTTTCTTTTTTTTGGTTTTTCGAGACAGGGTTTTTCTGTGGCTTTGGAGGCTGTCCTGAACTAGCTTTTGTAGATCAGGCTGGTCTCAAACTCATAGAGATCTCCCTGCCTCTGCATTCCAAGTGCTGGGATTAGAGGCGTGCGCCACCAACGCCCCTCTGCCTACTTTCTTTTTATTGGGATTTAAAAGCAAACACTTTTTTTTATTTATTGTAAAAAAATTTTGAACTCAGGGCCTTTCACCATGGAACTATTTCTAATGTTTGTACTGGAACTTTTTGAATTTTTTGTTACACATATTTAACTTTTTACAGCATCTAGTTATTAACAGTAAAGTTAGAGGGAGAAGTTTTAGAACATATGATCTCCAATATCTCTTTGGGAATAATGCATCAAGGGGAGTGGAAAGGTAGAGGAATAGAATGATGCTAATTTATTTTCCTTTGTCTTTTGTTTTCCTCTGTGTGTGTGTGTGTGTGTGTGTGTGTGTGTGTGTTGCATTAGTGAATCGGGGAGGAGGAGGTCAGGTGGAATGCACTATCACTCTCTGCCTTACTCCCTTGACACAGGTTCTCTCATTGAACCTGGATGTTTAGCAGGCAGTTAGTCCCAGTGATCCCCCTGTCCTCATCCATTGGGGTTGCAGGCAGGTGTGGGGCCATGGCTGACTTTTTAATGTGGGTGCTTTGATCTGAACTCAGGTCCTTATGCTCACACAAGTGCTCTTACTCACCGAGCCATCCCCCCACCCTCTCTTCCTTTTAATATAATTTAAGACTTTTTTTTTACAAAAACATTTTCAGTAGTTGGCAAGTATGTTTGGCTTTGCTCAGTAAAACTTCATACTCTAGGCTTGTACTGAGTTTATACTTTTAGACACTTTTACTATCATGTCTGGTTTATGTGGTACAGAGAATGTTAGGCAAGCACCAACTGAGCTACATCTCTATCCTGTTTATACTTTGTGTGTGTGTATACTTGTGTAGTATATGTACATGTTAGTGTGGGTATGTGCATGTGCATACAGGTACATATGTATATATGTGTGGATGTTTGCAGAGGGTTTTCTTCCTTAATTGCTCTCAAAAATCCTTTTTGAGACAGGATTTTTCACTCTTGGCTAGCTGGCCAATGAGCTTCTCCTGTTTCTGCCTCCTCAGCTTTAGGATTATAGGCAAAAGCCATATCCAGTGTTTTAGAGAATGTGGGTATGTGGGAGATTCAGAATTCAGGCTCTTTACTAACAACTGTCTGCCTAGCCTCCACTGATACATTCTTAATAAAAGTGTATTCTTAAGTGGAGGACAAAGCTTCAAGACAACATGTCATTCTAGCTATAGGTGGCAAAAGATGTCTTACCAAGCAAGGAATAGAATCAAGGGTCACCATGATCCCAAACACAACGAACAGCTTCTTTCCGCCAGATTTCTTTTTATTTATTTTTTTATTATTTTATTTATTTTATAATATTTTAATAATATTTTATTTATTAAAATTTAAAATATTTAATAAATATTTTAATAATAAAATATTTATTTTATTATTTCTATTTATTTATTTATTTATTTTATTTATTTTATTTTTGGTTTTTTGAGATAGGGTTTCTCTGTGTAGCTTTGGAGCCCATCCTGGCACTCGCTCTGGAGACCAGGCTGGCCTTGAACTCAGAGATCCGCCTGCCTCTGCCTCCGGGGTGCTGGGATTAAAGGCGTGTGCCACCAACGCCCGGCCAGATTTCTTAATTCTACCTGTGCTCATGAGGGCTTTCTCCAACCTTTGAATTTCTTATTCATTCTTATTTCTGCTTGGGTACTTTAAAAAATCTCCTTAATCAGCCATTGGATTGGTTATGCCTTTCACATTGGCCTAATTTGGGACTGCAGTGATTGGGCCTCTTCTGGGAACTACTGATCATCTGCACCCAGCTATTCCTCTTAACTACTGGTCAGCATTTCTGTTAGTCTGTACCTTGTTCCAGCATGGATCTCAGGGCCACTGGCTCCTGCAGGCCTTACACATCTCTTTCCTTAGTTGTGGGGTGAGGGCATTAGTGAGCTGGGGTATTTTGATGTATGTACATTGTTTCAGTTCTGCTTTCTGTTCCTGTTTGGGGTTCCCCTTCCCAACTTTTGTCTCAGTGGTCTGATGTCCACTGAAATGCAGCTGTAAGGAGCTACTTGGAAGAGGATATTGATAATTATCTTTTCCCTCTTCTTTCTCATTATTGGTTTCTGTTGATGACCTTTCCTTTAGGCCTGGAGCATAACTAGTGTTTATGAATTCTTAACTATTGCTATGTTTGATGATGGAGTCGTTTCTGGACAGAGTCTTGAAGGTTATAGAGCTGGCCTCTTAGATGTGATGGATTAACTTTGATCTACATGGTGGAGAGTGGAGAACTGAGTCGAAGTTAAATATGTTAATAATTAAGAGCACAGGTTCTAGAGATAAACAGCTTTGAGAATGAATTCTGGTTTTGCTTTATCTGAGTAAATTGTTGAGTTGCCTGGATGTAGCCCCAGTTATGTAATTAGCAAAATGGTAATAACTGTACTCCACATGTCCCAGGTTTGTTAGGAAATGTGGTGATATGTGCAAAGTGCTTATGTAGCACAGTGTAAATCATTGGGTAGTCAGTAAA